CCTCGCTGCGCGGCCCGGGGTGGGGGCCGCGGGCGGCTGGCCCCGCCCCCGGGGAGGAGCCTGCGCGGGGGCGGAGCCTGGAGGCGGTGGAGACCTGAGCCGAGCCAATGAGGGCCGCGGCCACTAAGTGGGCTTGGCTTGCCGTGTAGCGCTGGCCGCAGGAGGGGAGCGAAGCTGTTGAGCCCGCGAGGAGTGAGGCTGAGCCTGGCCGTGCGCGCTCCCAGAGGGCCAGCTCCTGAGACGGAGTTCCTTCTCCGCTGCTTCTGGCTCCGGGCCCCTCCTGCCCAGGGCAATGCATCCTTGAGTGGCGGCGTCTGGACCCCAGGCAGCCCCAGAGGACCGAAGCCAAGGAAAGAAGACTGGGGCCAAGACACGCGCCGGGGGCTTGGATGCCTGGCTTTCTCTGAGGACATCTTTGGAGCGAGGGTGGCTTTGGGGTGGGGGGTTGTGCTGCAGGGAATCCAGCCAGGCCCCAAGATGGACACTTCTGGGCACTTCCATGACTCGGGGGTGGGGGACCTGGATGAAGAGCCCAAGTGTCCCTGTCCATCCTCCGGGGACGAGCCCCAGCCGGCGGCGGCCCCCCAGCAGCCCCCGGGACCCCTGGTGCCGCCTCAGCCCGCACAGCTCCAGCCGCCGCCGCCGCCGCCGCATCCCTTGTCTCTGCTCGCCCAACTCCAGAGCCAGCCTGTCCAGCCGGGCCTGCTGCACTCCTCTCCCACGACGCTCAGGGGCCTCCCTTCGGCCAACTCCACCGCCGTCCTCCACCCTTCCTCCAGGCAGGGCAGCCAGCTCAATCTCAATGACCACTTGCTTGGCCACTCTCCAAGCTCCACAGCCACAAGTGGGCCTGGTGGAGGCGGCCGGCACCGGCGGGACAGCAACCCGTTCACGGAGATCGCCATGAGCTCCTGCAAGTACAGTGGTGGGGTCATGAAGCCCCTCAGCCGGCTCAGTGCCTCCCGGAGGAACCTCATCGAGGCCGAGCCCGAAGGCCAGCCCCTCCAGCTCTTCAGCCCCAGCAACCCCCCCGAGATCATCATCTCCTCCCGGGAGGACAACCATGCCCACCAGACCCTGCTCCGCCACCCCAGCGCCACCCACAACCACCAGCATGTCAGCACCACTCCCAGCAGCACCACCTTCCCCAAAGCCAACAAGCGGAAAAACCAGAACATTGGCTATAAGCTGGGACACAGGAGGGCCCTGTTTGAAAAGAGGAAGCGGCTCAGTGACTATGCTCTGATTTTTGGGATGTTTGGAATTGTTGTTATGGTGATAGAGACCGAGCTCTCTTGGGGTTTGTACTCAAAGGTAGGGGCTGCGGTTTCTCTTTATACCTTGAACAAAAGGAATATGTAGGTAGCAACAGAGAGAGAGGAGAGAGAGAGAGAGAGATTGATGGAGGGGAGAGGCGGTGGTTGGAGAGGCGTTTGCTCAATGATATGGAGCACTCGAACTTCCCATGGTTTTCTTTCTGAATCCCGGGAGAATTCATTGCTCGCTTTCTTGGGGGGGGGGGGCGTCCCCGTACACTGTGTGTTGCAATACTGTGTTTGGGAGGAGGAACGGTTCCCTTCCGAGACATCGTTTTCCTCCTGGTTCACTCGTACCAAAGCGGAGCCCAGCGGCTTAACGCACCAATTAATTACACTCTGCCTTGATGTGCCTGCCAGTTCCTGCGACTTCCCTCCTCTGCTCCCCGCCCTGCTCCACTCCATTTTCCCGAGGATGGAAGAGAAATAAATGTCTGGGTGGGGGGTGGGGACGCCATCCTATCCCTTCTCCCTCTGGCTTCTCCCTCTCTTCCCAAGTTTCTGTTTTCCTCCTCGTCCCTGACAGACTTCGGGCAAAATAGCAGAGCACCGGTGACCCGAGTCCCTTGGGGGCACGGGTGAAAACGGGCGGAGGGACCCCGCGGTCCTTTCCCTCAGGAAGGAGCGCTCAGCATAAAGCTGCCGTCTGTAAACAGCCGCTGACAAAACCGGCTACAGGTGTCCCCAGCAGAGCAGGTGGGCGCCGCCTTGGCCTTAGCCCCGGGGAGCGGGGAGCGAGCGCCTCTCCTTCAGGTGGGATGATAGGGCTTCCCCGCGGGCCGAGAGCCCGCACCCCGGGCCCGCCTCTCGGGATCAGTGAGGTGCAGTGTGTGCACACCCAGCCGGGGCTGGCGGCTTGGCTTCAGCCTCGGCTTGGAAATCGCGGCCTCCAGGGGCGTGGGGATGGAGGCAGGTGGGTTTCCGCCAGTGCTCTGCCTGCTGGGGGCCCTCGCGCTGCGGGCCGGAGGGCTGCAGGCCCCGGGCACTCGGTGTACAAGTGGATTTCTTCCCCCTATCCCCCTCACCCCCAATTTGTTGTGGGGGGAGGGTGTGTGTGAGTGCGTGTGTGCGTGCTTGCTTGTCCCTTGGATTTCTCTTATTTGTCATTTTGGGCAGGGGGTGGCTGGGAGGGGTTCAGCTGTTGCAGGTTTCAAATAGAGCTTGTTTCAGGCTAGGCACAGCTGCTGTGGGACTGCCACATTCCTTGTTGAAATGCAGCCGCAAAAACCTAGGAGGTGCTGATCGGATTTCCCTCATTCCCAGCCTCCCTCTCCCGCAGGCACGGGCAGACCTGTCAGCCACCTGAGCAGCCAGCCCCAAGACTTCCTTGCACGCGGAGGGCCCCCAGGGACCTGCTGCTCAGAGGGGGCTGCCCCAGCAGAGGGCAGCCCCTGGAAGCTGCCTGCATCAGAATAGTGCCAGGATTTGAGCCCCTCAGAGGGCAGAAGTGAGCGGGGTTTCCCCGGGAATAGCAGCTCACTTAGTCATCCCTGGAGCGAGCCTCTGAGCCTGCTGCGGCTCTCTCGGGGCCGCCACCCTCGGCACAGCCCTGGCTCCCCCCAGCCCCCCGTGGGGACCAGGAGCCCTCGCCGGGGGAGACTGATGAAGGCCCAGGTGCTCAGGGGTGAGGGCAAGGGGCAAGACCAGCACCCCAGCGACCCCCGTGGTCAGAGCTCTTAAGGGAACGGCTCCTTCTGGGGATGCTCCCGGCACGGGGCACCTTGGTCTTAGTGCCATGGGAGCGTTGCTGCTGGCAGGAAAGGATCTGGGGCAGGTGCCACCCTGAAGGAGTATTCAGGGAAAGGGCCTTCCCCGGAGCCAGGGAAAACAGACTCTGGTGTGAAGGAAGGGGAGGCAGGTCCACTGCGCTGGGCCTCAGCCGGTTCTAAGCTGCTGACCCTCATGGCAGTGTGAGGGGCCCTGAGCAGCAAGGTCCTGCTTGCCCCAGCTGGTGAGGCGGCCACCTGTGTGCCCCTGGGACAGTGTGGGTGGTGATCAGCAGGGCTCATGGTAACCTGCTCCCCAGCCTCTCCATCTGCCCCTCTGTGCATTGAGTCATTCTGGGACAAGCATTTTTGGGGTGTCTCCTGGGTCAGGCCCTGTGGACCCAGGATGGGTAAGGCAGCTATCCCTCGCCGGCCCCGGCCACAAACAGGATCATTGTAAAGAATCAGAGTGAAGTTTGAATCCCAGCCCTGCCGCTTCCAGAGCTGTGATCTTGGACCAGCTGCGTATCTTCTGCGAGCCCATCTCCCCAGCTGTCAACGGGGAGAGCGAATCTGATAAGTGTGAGGCTCCAACACGGGGCCTACTGTCATTGTTATTAATAGTGGTGATGAGAGCAGAGATGTCTTTTCCCCCCAACTCTGGCTCCAGAATCAGCTGGGCCCTCGACAGGTCGGAGCTAACACTTGTCAATGGCGTGAGAAGTTGCGTCCTGTCGGGGAGAAGTTCTGAGAAGGGGCTGGGTCTTCTGCCTGGAAACGGCCTCTACTCATGGCTCTGTTTTAGGGGAGGGTACATCTGTCCCCAGCCTGTCTGTCACGGGCTCTACCGTGGCGAGAGGGTTTGGGCTAGGAGCGAGGGCAGCGTGGCCGTCCGGCAGGCCCTGGGCTGGGCTGGGCCGGGCAGCAGTGTCTTTAGCTGGAGAACTCCGTGTGTCTGGTTGGCTTTGCTGACCAGTGTGGAGGTCGCCCGGGCCGACTGGGGAGCTCTGCACTGAGGGTGGCCCTTCCCACTCAGAGGCCCTTGGGAGGGGGCCACACGTCCTCCCCAAGCGATGGAAGGCCGCGAGCCTGCGCCGGAGCTGCCGCTTTCCGGGAGCTGTTTCCTTCCTCGGGGCTGCGGACTCCCATCTGTGTCTCTGGCTGATGTCTGTTGCTGGGGAGGAATTTGCCACGTGGGCCTGGCTCCCTTGAGAAGGAACGTGGCCTGCCCTGAGCTTATTCAGAGTTAATGCAGAAGGGGGCCCGGGCGAGGAGATAAGCGGTCCTCGGTCCCCTCCTCACGAGCCACAGGTGACGGCGGGGGAGGGAGATGGGCCGACGCCGGGCCCAGGAACAGGAGGGCCCGGGCCGGGAGGCCGACTGGCAGCGAGGGGCCAGAGATGGCCCTCGTGGACGCTGACGGGTGCAGGGCTGCCCCCCGAACTGGGCAGGGAGTCCAGGTTTAAGAAAAACAGGTGGATTTACCCCAAGGGCTTAGACACCGTGACAGGGCCAGGCCCAGGGATCCTGCTGGGAACTCTGAGGGACTTGGTCTCTGCCGCGTCCGCGCCAGTCAGGATTCAGGCGACGCGTCTGCAGGGAGTCCTTCTGGGCGTTCGTGCTGTGGTCTTCCTGAGCTGGCTGGAGGCCTTGGACCGCCTGCTGGGCTCTGTCCACTGGGTGGAGGGAGAACCGGGGCCCGCCCCTCTCCTCCCCGAGCTGCGGACTCCCCAGCCCCAGCCTGCCACCTCGCTGTGGCTCGGCCGGCACCTCTGTCCAGCTGACAAGTCCTCGTGGGCCTGTTTCCCAGGGACCTGTGGGGTCAGGCTGCGGGGCCGCCGCAGTGTCCAGTGTCCATTTCCCGGCCTCCCACAGGGGAGGCCGGGAAATGTTGGTTCGGCGAAGCAGCTCTCCGTGTCCCCTGTTTGTGCCCAACCTCCAGCTACCCCCGGGCTCACCATCCAGCTGGGTCTCACCTCCTGAGCAGAGCGGACCCCTGCCGTCCCACAGCTTCCCCTGCAGTGGGGTGCTTCCCACCACCCCCCTGCCTGGCCCTGCTGCCAGGCTCACCCAGGCCGTGGGCGGGGGTCAGGGGGATGTGCTCCCCTGGCTGCCCTGCCTGACCCCCATGCCTGGCTCCCTCTGTTCCTTCACAACACCTTGAGGGAGGACCCCTGGAAAGGGCAGGCCCTTCTGCGTGCCCAGGGCAGCTTGGTCTCCTGGCCATTTAACCCTTCAAAGAAAATGGGGTCCCTTAGGGCCGACGTGTTGTGTGTCTTTGCTGACCTCACAGAGGTCCAGGAGTCCACCCTCAGCCTCCAGCCTGAACGACTGAGTAGGTTAGCGGGTCCCAGGTCTCTGAGCCCCTGCCTTCCCTGGCCATGGAGGGCTTGTGTACAGAAGAAGGGCAGGGCAGCGGGCGGGCTTGGCTGGGAGAACGGCCCGCACCTCCTGCCAGACCCAGGAGCCCCTCTGGGGTAGGTGGGCGGCTGTCAGGGGCATCCTGACCTTTGGGAGGAGATGCCTCTGTGGTCTCAGGAGTGTTGGCAGCGCTGAATGGGACAGACCCCTCCAAGGACCCTCCCTGTGTGGCGGCCTGCAGGACAGGGTTGCAGAAGGTGGGAGGGTCTGAGCCCAGGCGTAGGTTTTACTTTGGGGTCATGCTGAGCGTCTTGGCCCAGGGAGGGCAAGAGCAGCTCTGTGGACATGCTCCCACCCAGGGTGGTGGCGACCCTATTTACAACGCTTGTGGCCAGCCCACAAATGAGTCAAACGTTTGTAACCGCAGCAGGGACGACTCAGCAGTGCATGCCTGTCCTTGGCGCATCATCACGCTGTTTATAGCTGTCCGGGGCAGAATTCGGGGTGCTTGTGACACCCCTTCCCCCCGGCAGCGTCCCCTGCGGCGGGCACAGCGCTGTTGCTGGGCTTGCATCCGCTGCGTGGGCTAACTGGGAAGCTGGGGGCCGCCTCGCACGGCCCTTCCCCAGCTTTCAGGGAGGGACAACGGCCAGTCCAGGGTCCAAAGATCTGCTCTGAAAAACAGAAGGTAAAGAAACATAAAATGAAAAGAAACTGGAGTCACCTCCGTGGAGGGGCAGCGGCCTGGCTGGAGGGGCAGAATCCGCACAGAGCGCGGGTTTGTGGGGGCTATTCGTCCAGCACATTTTGGGGGGAGAATGTGTGTGACAGAGCGCGGCTGTGAGGGGCGACTCAATGCAACACCGCCTTACTCAGCTCAGTGGCTGCAGACCCGGTTTTCTTTTCTTTCAAAACCCAGAGGGAGAGAGAG